TTTCTTTCCCCACATGTATGTATTTAATCTTTTTAATGAAAGTCTGGGTTTTCTCTCAAAAAGTTTCTCTTTCGGTTTTAATCAAGGTGGTGACTGCTTTTATGAGAACTTGTTCTCAAAGAGATTTGAAATGTTTTCAATTTGAGTCGTCAAATCATTTTTTTCCCACTTTGACGTGTCTTTTTTTTTTTTTTGTCTTGATGTTTTCACTAAAAAGGTTTCTCCTTCTGTTTTAATGACTGTTTTTTTATAAGAGCTTTTTTTCAAAGAGATTTGTAGTGATAGTACAGTGTGTGTTGTCCAAAGCCCGTGATTTTCTGAAGATTCACTCATGCTAGCTATAACATCAGATAGCCAACGTAGATTTTAATATAGATTCTTGCACTTTCTTCAATTTGCTCTTTTCCAATTTGTTTGCTTTTCGAAGCACAAATGCGTTCTGTGTGAACGGCTCGTTCGTTCAGCTCACTGCAGTTTTAAAGTCCTTGCTGAACGGTACCTGTTTTGTCCAGCTGGTGGGAGATGGGAGATATACAGTAGGCCTAGTCTAGTTAGTATGTGCGTGTATGTATTGTTTCAGAAGTCTCACACTGAAATAATCTCTTCATATTGTGGCTGATGATTATCAGCCATCTGTCAACATAATGCAATGAGAATATATTAGAAAATAATACTGATGTTTGAATGCCTGTCAGTAAAACTAAATTTGTTTATTTAAATGTAGCTAAAATAAATTGATTGCATCCACTTACCTTAAAAAAAATAGTAAATTCAATTAATCATTTTTTTTTCAGTGTAGGTTGGTACGATGCATAAATAAAAACTGTTATGAATATTTACAACTATACTGATGGATCTAAAGATTCAGGAAATGGTTTACAGTGGGTGGAGAAAGTCAAACCAGACAGAGTTGTATTTTATTCAGACTCAGCAGCAGCATTACAGAATATGAATACCAGCAAAACAACTAGAGATTACATTTGAATAGAAATATACACAGCACCACTAAACCTAAATAATTATGAATAGATGTTCAATTCTGTTGGATACCAGCACATATAGGAGTTTAAGGGAAAAAAATAGCTGACAAATTAGCGAAAAAGCATTAAATCTTAATGACAAAATAGATATTTCCCTTTGAAAAATGGAGGGAAACATTAATTAAAAGCAACATTGATAATCAATGGCAAAAGATTTGGGACTCCGATAATAAAGGAAAAAGAATTACAGCATTCAAAAAGTAAAGTTAAAACTATTAAAATAGAACAGTTTCTAGAACAGAAACAAGAATTCAGTTATACAAGACTACGGTTAGGACACACAAGACTTAATAATATATTATTTCTTATGAGTAAAGTGAACACAGATGAATGTGAGATTTGTAAATGCAAAGAAAATGTTGAGCATGGTCTATTAAACTGTCATCAAATTAGAAAGAAAATGGGATATTAAAGGTATTTTAGGAATAGATCATTCTTAAGTGGAAGTTGTTAAGGCATTAATTAATATTTTGCATGAAACTGGTCTTATTAGAAGAATTTAAGATGAGATAATTGAAGCCATGATTTTACACACTTCAATATAGTAGGTGGCAGAATGCACCTTTAATGTTGGTCTGTAACTTGCCATAAAACGAACAAAACACAGATCAGGGATCGTGACCAGAGGCCTGTTTCATAAAACAAGTTTACCAAATAAGCGAGGCTTATTTCAGTTAGTCTGACTCATTGTGACTCAAATGATTTGGTTCCATAAAGCAAATTTAACATTACATTTAGTCATTTAGCAGACGCTTTTATCCAAAGCGACTTACAAATGAGGACAATGGAAGCAATCAAAATCAACAAAAGAGCAATGATATACAAGTGCTATAACAAGTCTCAGTTAGCTTAACGCAGTACACGTAGCAAGGGTTTTTAAAATAATATAATAAATAAAAAGAACACAGATAGAATAGAAAAAGAATAGAGCAAGATAGTGTTAGATGTATTTTTTGCTTTTGTTAATTGTATAATAAATGAAAAGAAAACAGATAGAATACAAAAAGATTAGAAAGCAAGTGTTAGTTTTTTTTTTTTAAGAAAACAAGCAGCAAATGAATAGAGTTGTCAGACTTTTGGACCTGTTTTGCCCCCGTAGTCCTGCCTGTGTTTCCTTATTTGGTCATGTTCCTGTCCTCGTTTAGTTTGATTATGTTCCATTGATGTCACCTGTGTTCCCCTGATTGCCCTGTGTTCAAAAGTCCTAGTCTGTGCAGTCTGTCTCTGTCAGGTCTACTTGTTTCTACGTGTGTTTGCCCAGCGCCTGTTGTGGATTATCTCCTGAGTTTCCTCGATTAAAGACTGTTCTCGTTTACTCGTGCCTCCTGCGTGCTTCCTCAACAGTGTAACGTAGTGATGGGGAAACTAAGCTTTTCGAAGCATTGAATCAATTGAACCAATTGCTTCGAAAAATGATTCAATGTTTCGAAGCACTTGAAACCGCACATACTGGCGACCACCTGCTGGTGAAAATGTTGTAAAAGCATCGAAAACTCAGACCAAACTTACAAAACAAACGGAAATGTTTTTTTTTAGAAATACAATTTTTAATAAACACTTAAATACTATTAAATATTGGTGCTTGTTTTATGTGTTTTAAGTATATAAAACCCTTAACACACAATGAACTAAATTAATTATTTAATGAACTAATTGATTTATGTAATTATTTAATTAAGTGTTTTCATTAGAGCGGTCAATAAAAACCAGCAGGCAAGAGTAGTGTTATCAGTCAGGAGAAGGAGGTGGTTTTAATTTTATCGTAAGTTCATTTTGTAATTTTTAAGGCATAATGTGATTTGTAGATTGAAAGTACTGCATGTTTTTACACATTTTTTTTAAACTATATAGCCATCTGTGTTAAAGGGAAGTTATCTTTTGTTTAACCCACAACATCTGGCCCTGAATTCTTTATTTTTATAGTAAAATTTTGTGGGATTTCATGTCACATGATTATCTGGGTAACCAGAAGTGGTTCATGGGTTCACTTTGAGATCAACACCCCCTAGTGGTGAACCATCGGAGTTTCGAAACGTTTCGAAACAGTATGACATAATGAAGCTTCATTTGCTAAAATCATGTGACCTGGCCGGTTTGATACGCGCTCCGAAACACTGATTTGAAACAAAAGATTCGCAAATGTTTCGAAGCTTCGTGAAGCAGTGTTTCGAACGCGCCCATCACTAGTATAACGTGACAGAAGACCTGACCAACACAGTTACCTCCGTGGATTCCCCTCCGTTTGTTTTCTCGTTTTTCTCTCAGTGTTTTTGTTTCCGTTGTGTTTCCTGTTATGGATCCCTTCACCCGCCCGGAATTCCTCCTCCTCCTGCTGGAGCAGGGGGATAGATCTCTCGAGGATCATACGAGACTATTCCAGCTGCTAGCAAGCACCACCAGCTACCCGGACGACGGGCTCGGCTCATTCTATGATGTGAGCTTGAACACCGCGAGCGCCGTCGTCCGAAGATAGTCCTCGAGAGGATTTCGTCGCCTTCGTGGAGTGGACTCTGGCGAGAAACGGGTCACCATCCACCACTTGCCCCGTGGATGATTTCGTCAGATCCACTCCAGACCCAGTGCCCAGCCCACCATCTCCCCGCGGTGCGGAGCATCAGCCCGTGCCCACCGATGACGGAGAGCCAATTACCGCCGCGATCGACGAGCCAGCGCAAAGCCAAGCGACTGAGCGGAGGATCGCCCCGGACATGGAGCTCAATCCGTCAGATCAGGTGCGAGAGCCGGCGACAATGCCAGCCACGAGGGAGAGAGCCGCGGACGGAGGAGCTCCGTCCCCTGCACCGCGGCTGAGGGTGAGCCGAGTATGGCGCGGCGAATGTGCCACACCGAAGAGGAGAGGGCTCCAGTCCCCGAATCCAGTCCAGAGCGCCCTCCAGTGCCCGCTCCTAGAAAGCGCCCTCCAGTGCCCGCGCCTCGAAAGCGCCCTCAAGTGTCCGCTCCTCCAGAGCGCCATCCTGTTCCCGTGTTCAGCCTAAAGGGGGCTCCCGATCCAGAGATTAGCCCTGAATGCCCGGAGGCTCACAAACGCCCGCCCTCCCACCTGCTCCTGTCTCCTCCACCGCTGTCGTCTGGCAGCCCCTCTGCTCGCCCTCAGCCCTCATTATGGTGCGAGCTCTGCGGGTCTGCCATCCTCCAGCGTCACCAATACTGGATCTGTGTATTTCTTATGTTAATAATGTTAATCAAAACAGCAAACGAAAAATAGAGAATTGCTCACTCCTCTTAACTAAGTAACTTATGTATCTTAAACAGGTATTTGTGTATATTTACTTCATACTGTAATAGAGCTTTCACAAGCACTGTAAAGTACCGTTTATTTAGGTAATTTGTATCTTTGTATCTCTCTCTGAGGACCAAGCAATCCTGAGGTTGAAATCTTAGAACCGCCCCTGATCGTGACAGTTTTGATTAGTGATGTCAATAATTTTATATATTGCTTTTTTTTTAATTGTCTGTTGTTTATGTTGGCAGGATGAGGAGCTTGGAAAGAGGGAGTTGTGGGAGAGAAACCTTGAACTTATCACCCTTCACAACCTGGAGGCCTCCATGGGTCTGCATTCATATGACCTGGGCATGAACCACATGGGAGACATGGTGAGAACATGAGTCCAGTGTCCCTTTTTCCCTTTTCCACTGCATTTCTTTGTGATTCTTTGTGATTTATTAGGTACTTTCTTAGATAATTTTTACTTTTCAGTAGCACCTAGAAATTAAACTTCCATGAAATACATTTAGCTAGGCATAGACTATAATAAATGCCCTGCGAAACAATTGACAATTTCATCACCAGTAACTCGGATTGTCTTTTTTGTGTCATGTTGATTCACAGACAACGGAGTAGATTCTGCAGTCATTTGCCACGACTCGTGTCCCTCCTGGCTTTAAGAGGCAAACAGCAGAATTTGTGAGCTCTTCTGGGGCTCCTGTCCCAGACTCTTTGGACTGGAGAGAGAAGGGATATGTCTCCAGTGTGAAGAACCGGGTATGATTATACTGCATATTTTGAATAAAATCTGATATTTGCTCATTTAGATTTGTGTCTGTGTAGCCTTTTGTTAGAAAAGCTCATTTCTGTTCCTTTCAATGGACCAGCAGAGACCAAAATTGTGTTTAGTTTACATTATTAGTATTTCAATAAATCTGTGCTATATGTAGCATAAATGCTAAATGTTTCATGTTTTAGTAGTTTTATCATGCTTTTCTGTCTTCTGTCAGGGTGCATGTGGTGCTTGCTGGGCATTCAGCGCCGTTGGGGCTCTTGAAGGTCAGCTGATGAAGGCCACAGGAAAGCTGGTTGACCTCAGCGCTCAGAATCTGGTGGACTGTTCCTCCAGTTACGGCAACAAGGGCTGCAATGGTGGATGGATGACTGATGCCTTCCAGTATGTTATTGATAATGGGGGAATAGACTCAGAATCGTCTTACCCTTATAAAGGAGTGGTATGTTGTTTGCATGGGCCCATGTGTTTAAAAAAACCTGACGAGATTACATTCCATATTAGAAGTGACAGGACCTGTTATTGTGAGATTTGAGTAATACATATGCAGTCAGGTCTCTACATTGATGGATTTATCAGTGTTTGGTACATTTTTAAAAAGCTGCAATCCATTATCATTATGAATATAATAATAAATAAATGTGTCCTGCAGCAAGGGCCGTGCAGATATGATCCATCCCAGCGTGCAGCAAACTGCACCAAGTATTATTACGTCAGTGAAGGAGATGAGGAGGCCCTGAAGCAAGCTGTTGCCAACATCGGGCCCATTTCAGTGGCCATTGATGCCACCCGCCCTCAGTTTGTCTTTTATCGCAGTGGTGAGTATTTCTTCCCTGCACATTCAGACTGAGTACCATATCAAGGTATTCAGGTTACAAATTTAGGGTTGAAATGATTTTTTTTTTCATTGACAACTATTATAACATTATCTTACATCTGTCCACAGGAGTTTACAATGATCCATCCTGCACCAAAAAGATAAACCATGGAGTTTTGGCTGTGGGATACGGTGCGATTGCTGGACAGGACTTTTGGCTGGTCAAAAACAGGTACAGGCTGACTTTTGAAATTGTGTGATCATTAGGGATGGGCGTATCGATCCAAAGTATCGATATATCGATACTGACGCGAGTATCGATACTAAGGTGTGTTTTATTTACCAGTGATTTTGTTAATTAAAAAAATAAAATAAAAAATGCGTACAATATGCATTGAATTGGACGAATAACCTTTGTTAGCGAGTAATTGTGTAGGATAGAACTATTTTCCTGCTCATCTGGACATGCAAATGTTGCAAGACAGAACCAATCAATCAATCACAGAGAGCGTTCACTCACTTCTGACAGTTCATTCAAACAGTGCTGCGTTTCCCAAAAGTATCATAAGAAAGCATTAAAGCTTTTGGGAACGGCAGCCCTGAACAATGCTTATCAGAGGACAGAGAAAAAAAAACATGTGTTTGAGTTATTTCACTATAAACAAACTGACAACGATACTGCCTTGAAAAATATCGGTATCGTATCGAAAACAAAATAAGTGGTATCGCCCATCCCTAGTGATCATAAACTGACTGGGTCCGATATTGTTTTGGGAAATTTACCTACTCAAAGACATGTAAAATCAGATCATCTGTCTCAAACAAAACATTAAGATGAAAAAATACAAATGCTGATTGTTATTTTTTTACTTTGACAGTTGGGGTGCTGGATTTGGAGATGGTGGCTACATCCGTATGGCCAGAAACCAGAACGACATGTGTGGCATCGCCTTATACCCATGCTATCCGGTTATGTAGCTGAAATCCTGTTGAAATTGTGAATATATCAAAGTATTTTATAATCTTATTTCTTAACTGTAAATGTGTTAAATATGTTTTTCCCCAATTCTATTGTCTTTTAAAATTTTCCTAATGTCTTAAATAAATATAGAATTTTAAATCTTTCTTAAATCTTTCTTTTTTTGTGTGTTTACAAATGACTTGGTTTTATTCAGTGCAACATCACAATGAACAGTTTGACATGAGGTATTAAAAGGATTTTTCAAGATCAGCACACAATGTCCAGTTATGATGGACATTTAGATTGCTGTGATTTTTACACCTTTGGTTGATTAGCCACATTCATAAGGTAACACAAGGGAGAGAATGGCATAAAATGACACAGAAAACACTTGCTACCCTTTCAGTCTGCTTATCTGAACCAATTAATAAGTGGAACTCCAGATGCCAAAAGTGCCTTGAGAGAATTAATTCTGTCAGCCTATGTTATGATTCAACAATCAAGTTTGCTAAAATCACATTTTTATTGGTGTGATTTATATGACACAACAAAAAACATAATTGCATCATATTTGTAGAGACAAACATATTTCACAATTATTTTGGTCTCTATTTGGAGGGATAAGCAATCATAAGATCACCAAGACTCCCTCTCTTGCTCCGATTGTCATTCCCATTTGGTCTTTATACTGATAAATGTTCTTCAATCACTCTCTCACACACGCACACACACTCAGACAAACAAGGTTCTATCTGCCTGCAGGTAAGGCTGTGATTTTGTTGTGTTCATTGATTTATTCCAGCAAATTTGGTTATAAAAACTTAGTAATGCACAAACGCTCCCTGAATGGATGGCCCCTTTGGTACAGTTACATTCAGTACCGGAATTAACATTAAGTGACATGGCATCTGACGCATGGGCACCACTGGCACATGCCATGACACTTAATGTTACTGCTGCCTCTCCAAATGGGTTCCCCTCAGTGGGATGGCGAAATGGAAATATCACTTCAGATACTCTTTTCAAATATATCTGAAGAGGTTAAACACTAGAGGTTAAACTTCAAAATGTAAAAATTGTAATGTCTAGTTCTTTCACTATTTTTAATAGTTCGAAAAACCTACTTTTTCGAACTCGTCCTAGACGGTTTGTCTGCTTTTTACCAAAATTGGCTCAGATCATCTTCAGACCATGCTGGCAAAAAGTTATGGAAATAAAGTAGATTAGTTAAACTGTTCTCGAATAACGCATGAACGAATTTGATGAAGAGCACACAAAAATGGATGTGACGCTATATCTCCGCAACAGTTTAACATATTGAGACCAACTTGGTGTGTTATAATAACAACCATGACCTGAGGCTACCTGCACAGTGCCACCTATTGGTCAGGAGATATGAAAAATGGCTCTTTTTGCTTATAACTTCTGAATGGTTTGGCCTAAAATTCTAAAATCTGGTCTCTTTAGATTCGGTGCAGCATGCCGAGTCGAACCATACCACATTTTCCCATGTCACCGTATCGTTACGAAACTTGGTATGTGTCTTCGGCACCATGCCCTGACAGTACTCAAAAAGTTTGGGGGCAGCGCCACCTTGTCGCCAAAAGTTATTGAATAAATTGGGCTATTGTAATGAAACTGGTCTCAATATATTCTTTGGGTCATGCCAAGAACATAGATACCAATTTTGCTATATATAGTATAGTCAGCCAAACTTCCTGTCTGCCATTTTAATTAATGTTGAAAATGTATTTTTATTTCGAACTCCTCCTAGACCATTGGTCCAATTTTCACCAAACTTGACTCGGATCATCTTCAGACTATGCTGGCAAAAAGTTATGGATTTCGTGTCGATATACAAAACAGTTATCGTTTAATGCATCAAAGAATTTGCTGGAATGATGCCAAACTGCGTCTGAGGTTGTATCTCTGCAAAGCTTTGACATATTGACACCAAACTGTGTATGTGCCATTGTCACCTCACACTGACCAGGCCACATCAATTTGGTAACTGCGCCACCTATTGGTCAAAAGTTATAAAGCATTCATAAACAATTAATAATAACTTTTAAAAAATGCTAATAACTTTTGACTACATTAGCCTATTGTAATGAAACTCAACAACAAGCTTGAGGCATGATGCCAAAATGACTCTGAGGCTGTATCTCTGCAAAGCTTTGACATATTGACACCAAACTTTGTGTACCATTGTAACCTCACAGAAAATAACACATCGATTTGATAATGGCGCCACCTATTGGTCAAAAGTGATAACCCTTTAAATCATATTACTAGAGGTTGTATTTGTGATTTTCCAGCCATTTTGACTAAAATCACCATAAATGGCTTTAATTACTCATTGTTGCATTTGGTCTAATTAGCTCCTCATTTTGCCTCTTTTGTGCTTGGCCCCTTAATTGCTGCTTGCAGCTATATTTAATTTAATATTGTTTATTGTTCTATTTGTCAATAAATTGTTTAATTAATATAGCCTAATAATTAAATATTAGTATTAAGAGGCAAACAGTAAATTCTGTGGGCTCTTCTGGGGCTCCTGTCCCAGACTCTCTGGATTGTAGAGGGATATGAAGCGTGAAGATGCAGGTCTGTTTGAAACTATGCTAACTGATATCCGCTCAATTAGCCTTGTGTCTTTTTTATTTTAGATGTTTTTGATGTTGCTCTCATGATGTCAAGTGAATTGACCACAGTCTCTGTCAGAGAACATGCTGTCATCGTTTTTTCTTTAATTTAATTTCCTTTATATATTTTTGTCCAGTCAAGTGTTTGAGGGAATTTATTTCCCCTTTCCTGTAACTTCCTCTATGATGAGTTGAAAATTCAGAAACCAGGAACTAAAGACTGATTGGTCAAAATGCTGTTTCTGCAGCTTCACAAGCCATTAAGTTGTTCCTGTTTTAGTAGTTTTCTCATGCTTCTCTCTTCTATCAGGGAGCTGTTCATGTTGGGCATTCAGCTCTGTTGAGGTTCTTGCAGAAAAGTGAAAGTAAAATGCTCAAGGCGCTTTTAAGCTATTTAAAAGCGAAGGAAAGCGAGGAAAAGAGGGAACGCCCCCTTATTACCGGTGTTGTCACACCTCGATTAACCGGTGGGAACATTTTCTCACCATCACAACCCTAATGGTAACTGCTGAATATAAGAGGTATTTCAGTAATGCATATGAATTAATTTCACTAAGGTTGATCAATGTTTTTCGTTTCATTAGTGTTTGTAAGAGGCTTTTCAATAATCATGGACTATACGGCCCCTCATACAGGTCAACTGATGAAGACCACAGGAAAGCTGGTTGACCTCAGAATCTGGTGGTCTGTTACTCCAGTTACAGCAACAAGGGCTGCAGTGGTGGTTTTATGAAGCCTCACATCTGTCCACCACAGGAGTTTACAATGACCTGACCTGTACATAAAATGTGAACCATGCAGTGCTGGCTGTGGGATACGGTGATTGCAGGACAGGACTTTTGGCTGGTGAAAAACAGGAACAAACAGAATGATTGTGAAATTTTGTGACCATAAAATGACTGGGTATGATTTTTTTTTTTAAATGTACCCACTCAAAGGAGTAAGAAGTCTACTGTTTTATAGTCTAATTTCTTAGTTGTAAATGTGTGTTCTGTATGTAGTTTCACATTTCCATTGTCTTTTAAAAATCCAAATGTATTTTATGAATCTTACAAAATAAATATGAAATTTTTAATCTTGTCTTTGTGTTGACATTTTAAATGGAAGTATGCTATTACTGGTTGGTATATTTCCAAATGTCAACTGGTCAGTGCAACATCACATATTTGAACACAGGATATAAAATGATTAAGATCAGCACACAATTATGGTTTTGAGTTAAGTTATGATTTGTGTTTATTTGAAACAAATACACCTTTAATCAATCAGCCACACTCATAAGATAACACAAGGGGTAAAGTTTGTGTAAATTATTGCATATTGGACAATGCCATCTAACTGTTTAATGATGGATTTTACAAAAACCAGCGTTGTGCCAAATTCTGACCCCCACCAGATTATTACCCCCTAGTACTGGTAAATGTAGGGTTAGGTGTGGGGGAGGGGTTAGGATAAGGCAATCAGATAGCGATTTCAATGAGAGGGGTAATCATCATCAGCCAAAAACTCATCACCAAACAATACCAATGACTTGTACATATGGGTACAGTCATTTTAGACACTTCCAAATCTGTTGCAACAGAGATGGAAAAACAATTTTTAAATACATGAATTATGTTTCCATCTTTGTTGCCACAGTTTTGGAAGTGCCTTTTTCTGTTCTAAAGAAGGTGGTGTACTTATAATTTTGTCCATATAGTGTATGTACAAGTCATTGGTGTTTGGTGATGAGTTTTTGGCTCAAGGTCTGCATTTAAAGTCACACCAGAGGTGTTCAGCTGGGATTAGGACTTTGCTTTCTGCAGACCAGTCAAATTCTACCACACTGACTGAATCAATCATTTTTTTTAAACCTTGCCTTATACACAGAGGCATTGTCATGTTAAAATAGAAAAGGGTCCTGTTCAAACTGTTGCTATAAAATTAGAAGCACACAATTCCCTAATATCATTATATGCTTAAACATTAAGATTTGTACTCATGGAAATGACTAAAGTCATCAATCCTGTTCATTAGAAGGGGGTGTCCCAATACTTTTGTCCATATAGTGTAGCTAGTTAGCTGACCAGTTAGCATCAGCTAACAATATTTTTCAAATAGGTTATTATAATTTTGTAATTCATAATTATTTATTTTATTCTTTTTCATTTTAAGCTAAAACTGCATTTACTCTGATTTTGCTCTAAATGTATAAAGCTAATTGCTTTGTTAGACTAGGGGGCATTTTACCCCACCTGTGGGGCAAAACGCCCCCTTGGTACAAATTTAATTTTTGTTAAAAATCTAGTAACATGAAAACTCTGTACATTTTCCATACTTGGTTTTTAATTTATGTCATTGTCACTAAAACTATGATAACCATTTTGGACACATTTATCTTTTGTTTCACCGAGAAAAAAAAAAGACATATTCCTTAAAGGGGGCGTTTTCCTCCACTCTACCCTAAGCTTACCCTAT